TAAGGGACATTATGACTTAAGGTTGCAGTGAGAAGTCTATTAATGAGATATACAGCTGAAGTGAAAGCAAAATCCCAAAATTATAGTGGAAGAGAAGCATGGTAAGACCTGTCTCTACGCTATGTCTGTGTTTTCTTTCCACAACACCATTTTGGTGGTGTGTATGAGGACAAGTTAAATGATGCAATATACCATGAAGCTTGAGATATTCTGAAAAAACCCAAAACTCACCACCCCAATATGTTTGTATAGCTTTTATGGGTAGTTTGAATTGAGTATTAACCATAGAATGCAATTGTTTGAAGACACTTAGAGCATTAGACTTCTGTTTTAAAGGATACATCTAAGTATACCTAGTGCTTGCATCAACAAATAAAATATAATAAGAGTAGTGTGAAGATGATTTCATAAGGGCAGGGCCCCAAAAATCACTGTATAACAGTTCAAAAGGATAATTATAAACAATGGATGAAGAAAAGGAGGGTAATCGATGAGATTTGCCAATGCAACAAGAGTTACAGAAATCTGATACAATTTTATTATCGAATGGAATTTTACAAGAGGAAAGAACATTCTTTACAGCTATAAATCATGCTTCCATGGCTCGTACCATTCAAAGCTTCTCAGATTGGGAGATCTGATACCAATTTGTAAGGTATCTAAACAAGTCACTAATTACTCATGTAGAGAAAAGAAAACAAGGAAATTGTATTGATAAACCTCAAATAACAATTGACAATAGGTATCGTATGTAAAACATTTACACAACTATAATCAAGAGACTACACTTTAATGCTCATAGCTTTCGAGAGGCTCTTTTCTCTCCTCTGCTATCTTACTTTCAACCAAGTTGCCTTCCCAATGAAACCTTCCTCCCTTTTATCTCTACTCTCTCCTTGTAACCATTTTTTTTTTGCCTCCAACTCAAGTCACACCTTCTTAGTTGGTATGAGTCCTGCTCCCCTATGTGTGTGCCTACGATATACTCTAGTGATGGGTGGTTTCGTATCATATTCTAACACTCCACCTCAAGTTAAATCTTACTAAGCTTTAAGCTTATTACAAATGAACCCTTTAAATATAATCTAGGTTCTGCAAAACAGGGCTAGGAACACAACTTAGGTATGTTGAAGACATCAAAGATATGAGAATTGTTGGAAAGACAACTCTGCATGATATCTAGAACAATCATCAGCATGAAAACCATTTATAATGCTACATGGCCAAGGAAGAGGAGACTCCATTGAAATGATCACGATGGGCCTAAATTTATATACACTCGTAGGAAGATTAATAAAGAAATCCAAGTCCTAAGAATATGGGGGTTGTTTCTAATAGTGATAACGAAAACAAAGTGGTTATGGAGAGCGAAATGAAGTTGGTTAGAGGGGACAACTAGCAAATTCTAAATGGAGAGGAGTTGGGAGGAAGTGGAATTGGAAATGGGAAAACGATATATGGAGCAGGGGAAACAGTAAGAAGGAATTTCATAAGAACTTTAGGATGCACCACCCTATAAGCTAGCTCAAAGGGTGGAAGTGCTCAAGCCTTATAAACCCTACATTAGTTGCCCATACAACCAATGAGGGATTCCAAGTCTCATACCTAGCAAATGGGTTCTAACATTCCATCACGCTCCGCAGCCTCGACGCCCACGAAGGCTGGCTTTGCGCTAGTCTTTTTACTAGCCCTAAGCAAACACTGCAATGCCAACATCACCAGTCGCGCCACTCAATTGCAACTAGGAGACAGTGGAAGCCTCTAATACCATTTAATAAGAACTTTGGGAAGGACTTATAAACCCCACATTAGTTGCCCATACAACCAATGTGGGACTCCAAGTTCCATACCTTGCAAATGGGTCCTAACAGAATTACTCCAGTCTTTTGGTTGGGGAATTTGAGAACTTTGGAGTATAGGTTGCTAGGCATTCAAGGCATTGTTGTTAAAACGTAGTGTCAACTCGTAGAAACGAACGAGTTTACGTTTTTTGGGGCAAAAAACGTGTCAAGACTGTAGTAAACTCGTAAAATGAGCTGACTCGGTTGAAACGACGAGTCAACTCAGTAAACTTGATTGACTCGGCGAGTTTACCGAGTCGACTCAGTACTAAAAAATAAAAAATAAGGAGGAAAAGGCTCGTCTCCATCTCTGTGGGTTATTATTTACAATAGCTCACCCATGTCTGACACCCATGACGACCACGACCCCGAGCCGCCGCTAGAGTTTCTGCTCGGTCGTCCATCGTTGGCGGCGCCACTTTACAAGCAGCTATCGTGGTCGCCGGATCTATATCGCGATGAGGTGTGGCTCCGCCGCTAAGGGAACTAGAAGAATCATCGCAGCAAGAGCGAGGACTTTGCAAATCTCTGCTTCAAAAGAATGCCCATTTTCAACCTTTCGCTCCATCTACCTACCATTCCTTTATTTTAATAGTCTTTTTTTTATGCACGATGGCACCTACTGACTTAAGCTAGAAAGTTAGATATATTCCACCCAACTCTTATTTTATTATTTGTTTTGCTCCTTTGTTAAACCATCTTAGTAGGATCCAACCTTTTGTCCATCTACATACTATTTTCTTTATTTTATTATTATTTCTTGGTTAACATGACGGCACCTTTTGATACAAATTAGATATTATATATTCCACCCACTTTATATTTTATTGTTTGGTTCGCTTCTTAGTTTCGTTTCAATATTATTATTTATATTAAGTGATTATATATAGTGTGATTTTTTTCTATTCAACTTAGATTTATATTTTATATTCCATCTTTTTATTATATATTGATTATATATTCTAATCATTATTCATGGCTTCTTCATAATGGTTTTGATAACTATAAATATATATTGGATATATATAGTACGTAGTAAACTCTTACGTTTCACGATTTTACGTTTTTTCTCACCCTCACCGTTTCTATGTAGACTCTATGTTTTAACAACATTGCTTCAAGGGGATTATAATCATACCATATAAGTAATTAGGAGTCATTTACTGTCATCAATTTGTCTGTACTGTGTTGCTTTTCTTAATTTTGTATTGTTGTAGAAGCTAGGCTTTATTCGATATTTGTTTTAATAGAAACATTGGTACCATTAGATCATAAGTGTGCGACTTCCTAGCAAGCAATTATAAACAGCAAGATCTAAAACTTTAACTCCGAATTTATCAAGAATGGTATTTGGAAGCTTCAAACCGGGAAAAAAAAAAAAGCTTCGGGGAAAAAGATAAGGTCAAGGACAGGCATGTCTAAATCGTATCTAGGACTGGAGACTAGGATTAAGACCGATAAGGTCAAATCACGTCTGGGACAACGGCGGCCAAGGCTAGATTGCATTTGGGAGGAAGGCTAGGGCCATATAGCATCCAACTTTTCTTCCCTTCAATGCTCTACTAGCATTGGAAAAAAGGCACATAGCAATCAAAACAATGAAAAACTATAGATAAAAACCACAAAGAACACCAAGAAATAGCCCAAGCACATCAAACTTGATAGAGAGAGAACGAGTCGGATCTAACAATTACACGCAAAAAAACACAGCCCAAAGGAGCAAAACAACTATACGGAGGTGGTGAATAGGGGACAAGAGGGTTGGATAAGGACAACGAGGTGAGTCAAACGACAATAGTGGCAACTAGAATGATGGCCAATAGTGTCCACACATGCCAAAACATGGAACAATGGCTTGACAGGCTATGACAGACCGTTGAACAATGGCTTAGTAGGTTGGACAATTAGAGGTCGCTAAAGATAATGGCGAGGTTAGGCAGTGGAGCTGATGCTCGGACAACGACAGGTCAAGATGAGAGGGAGAAAGAAAAATGTGTACTGACATGTGTAAAGGTGATTTGGCTTGATATTTTGAGAGAGGACTGATCTGGAGGAGAAGATGGCGATAGTAGGGTCACCGACTGGAAAGCTCGCCTGAAAAGTCTTCCGATGGTGGTGCGCAGCTACAGATGGCAATATTTAGGCTGGCAAAGGTAGATTGAAAACCAATTTAGGGATTTAAGGGAAGCCAGTGGCTGGCAAAAATATCCACTGATTGAGAAAATTAGTATTAACAATAGTCAACATCAACAACACCTTTACCCCAAACTAATTGAGGTCAGTGGTAGATGAACTCAAATAAAAGATACGAAAGGGTTGAAAAAAGATAAAAATAAAAATAAAAAAAATAAGTAAAATAGTAATAATATATATATATTATATATATATATATATATATAAAAGTAATAAAAGAAGGGGAAAAGAAGAAGAGGGGGGAGATGAAGAGAAAAAAGACTAAAAATGGACCATTTGGAACATAGGAATAACAACGGATCTAACACTCCACCATGCTTATAGCTTTTCTCCATTTCGTTCTGAGGCAAACCGTCTGCCAATCTATATCTCAATCCATGAAGTCTTGTTTTAATACCTTCTCCCAAGTAAGTTTAGGTCTACATCTACCTTTCTTTGTGTTGAGCTCGTGGTAACAAACTTTTGCTCTTATGGGAGCATCCAGGGGCCTTCTCATGAAGCGAAGGAAAGAAAACATAGAAAGAGAGACGATTAATAGGAAGGAAGAAAATAATCATGGAAATAAAGTAAAGCTCCAAAGTTTAGGGAACTCAATAGTAGAATAGTGATGGGACACGTCATAAAGGATGGTATTGTCTGATACCATGTTGAAATTATAAGATTTTAGGTAGGGAAGGAGAAAGAGAGAAAAGGAATACCCAAAATAATGAAATTAGATTGATATTGGTGAGAAGGATGTGACATGATGATACTGCAAAATCTTTATTTATACTCATAGAAGACTCCTAATCCTAATTAAATAAGGAAACAAATCATGAAACATAAAGAAACACGGAAACTACTTGAGAGATCATTGATACTCTAAACTATTCTAGGATATAATGATAATATTAGGTATTCTAATATTATAAGTTATAAAAAAATAAAGATTAAAAAAAAAAAAAAAACTCTAATCAAGGAACTTACCCATTTCTCTTGAGATGTCCTTTACATGACTCAGCTTTTCTTCAGGCTTCAGGTTGCAATAAAACTCATTGATGCCCACAGCATTTGCAACTCTCCTTGCACTAAACTCATGATCCCCAGTTAACATCATCACACGAAACTTCGCTTCATTTTGCAATTCTTGAATAACATTAAAAACCCCAGGACGAGGCCTGTCCTCTAAGTGAATCAATGTTACCTGCATCAAGTGGTTAGTCAGTTAGGTTCAAGTGGAAATTGATGAGAATGAGACTGTAGCATATCATCATATACCGACCCTGAATGTGTTTTGTTTGGGAAAAGGGGTTAAAAAAACAAGGAAAGGGGACCAAGGTCTATTTCAAAATAAAGAGGCCAGAGAAGCTAAAAGGCTTGGGTATGAGGCCAGCTTCTCAAGCTGGAGAGATCTTTTCATTTTTAATATACTCAAACCATTACCCCTCCCCCAAGAAAAGAAGTGTAGCTAACAGTACACCACCTTCTGATTAACTGAAAGGGCAGCTTGAATAAATTCACTTCCATAAGAAGATGTATTAACAGCTTCCTTGATCTTTTTTGACTCATCTTCAGATTGACAAAATGAAGTGATGAAATCTACTGATCCAAGTGATGCTTTCAATAGTTCAGCACCTCCTGTTCCTGACTATAGCAAAATAAAAATCAATTTGAGTCATTTAACTTGTCATTAAAAAATAAACTATATGAGAAGAAAACATGCATACATTAGAAGTCTACCTAATTACTTGTCACTTCATGGGACCATTCATAATATATAGTTAGCACTTGAAGTAGTGTCAGTAGGCAAAGAAAACAGATGCAAAATAATGAAACACATCTTTAGAAAAGTGTAAAAGGAAACATAGGGAGGTCTCTAAACGAAATGTATGCAATATGAGCTCGATATACTGATAAAACATGGTAGTGACTATGATAATGCTTGGCTTTGTTAAGCAAAGTGAATATTTTCAGTATTGGATTGAGTAATAGACATAATAACAACGTACCTCAATACTATTAACAGTAGCAGTAAGGCCTTTACCGGGAAAGTACTCAAAACTTTCAACAGAAACAGATGGGAGGTCTTTGCCTTCACTATGGTCAACCACAGCCCTGTAATTCATTTTAAGGGGAAAAAAATGTCTAAAGACTGACGAGATAATCAAGTTCAAGATCGTGCTTTATTTTTATATTTGAGATGGCGTAACTGAATGTTCAAGAATTAAATTCAATAGGTTCATAGCATATGCACTTGCAAGCCACTGAGAAATTAAATAATGAAAACCCAAATTAAATTCAAAAACCAAAAGGAGAAACACACAAGAGAAAGAAAACTTACTGCTCCTCTTCCTACATTTGTAACTTGCAAGAAGAGGGTTAAAATGTAACACATACATTCTTATCAAAATGATACCTTCCAATGGGGTGAGTAGTACCCTTTTCCATAGCCGCAGCAACAGCAAGAGCTTCTTTTTCACAGGTGGGAATGCAACAGGAAGAAATGTTCGATTCATTGTTTCTAACGTGATGACCATAAATGGGCTCAATTGCCTTGAATACAAGTCCACCAGTCGTTAATGTCCCTGTTTTGTCAAATGCAATAGTATGGCAAGAAGCTAGAGCATCCAGAACATGTCCACCCTTGAGTAATATCCCCTGCAAATTGAGGTAACTATCACACCCACAACAAAAGGAGCATCCCAAGTTTAAAATTTTGAATTACTTTCTAGGTCACTCAGACCAACAAGCATAAACTACGTGAAGAGGGACTTAAATAATATACTTAAAAGTATGAATGTATTCAATTCTATGTAAAACTGTATAAGAGTCCTCTATTTAAAGAGGCTAAATGACCTAATGGGCTAAGCCCAAATAACCTTTTAGAATAATAAAATAATAATAATAAATGCAATACTTTTTCTAACACTTCCCTTCAAGCTGATGCGTATATATCATAAGCTTCCAGCTTGTTACATATATGATCTATTCAGGGACCTCTAAGAGCCTTGGTGAAAACATCTGTAAGTTGATCACTAGAATTGACAAATGTTGTCTCGATCTCTTCTAACTGAATCTTCTCTCTAACAAAGTGACAGTTAATTTCTATATATTCGGTCCTCTCATGAAAGACTGGATTTGAGGATATGTGCAATGCGGCTTGATTGTCACAAATGAGTTTCATGGGCCGTTGTTCACAGAGATATAATTCCTTAAGCAATTGTTTTAGCCATATGAGCTCACAGGTTGCATTTCCCATTGCCCGATATTCTGCCTCTGCACTTGATCTGGCGACCACAGTTTGCTTCTTACTCTTCCAAGAGATCAAATTTCCTCCGTGGAGAACACAATACCCCGAGGTGGATCATCTGTCTGAAGGAGAACCTGCCCAGTCAGCATCTGAATAGCTAGACATTCTGCATTCCCTTTATTAGAGTATAATAAACCTCTTCCTGGTGCTTTTTTGATATATCGAAGAATCCTGATAACTGCATCCCAATGAAAGTCACAACTAGGGGTGGTAAACGAGACAGGGGCCTTTGGCTCGGCTCGTGAAGGCCTAAGCTTACATGCCTAATATTGGTTGTTTGAACCAGGCTTGGACTTGTATAAAAGCTCGTTTAGTAAAAAAGCCTTAGGCTTCAATTCAAAAGCTCGACCTTGGAGCCTCTCAGGCTGGCCTAGTATATCAATTTTTATTTTACTTTTTCAACTGTTTTGTATCTTTCATGTGGGTTCATCTACCACCGACCCCAATTAATTTGGGATAAAGGTGATGTTGATACTATTTGTAATAGCTCTCTCTCCTCTCAATCCATTTCACTCCTATTTTATTAGTTAAACAGACTTTTTGAATGATTTTGTTCTATATTATGCTGTTTGGATATACAATGAATTTATGAATATTTATGAAATTCTAGTATTGTTGATTGTATATTCTGTTTGGATAAAATTTTATTGTCTTATTTTTTTTTTAACAAGCTAACAGGCTAACTCAGGCTTTTATTTTTTTGTAAATAAGGCAGGCCACAGGCCGATAATTATCTTCATAACAGGTAACAGGCTTGGTAAGACCGACATATTTAAACACAGGCTTAGCCTTTTAAGACCAAAGTTCGGCTCGGCTCGGCCCGTTAACACCCTTAGTCAAAACGAGAGTCATAACTAGAGTCAAGGAATTGACTTGCCACACTAACTGAAAAAGATATGTTTGGTCTTGTCACAGTAAGATAGTTCGACTTTCCAACTAGTCGGCGGTGACGACAGGGTCTGTCAATGGCTCCCCCTGTCCAGGTAATAGCTTAATATTAGGATCCATAAGTGAATCAATGGGTTTACATCCCAACATACCAGTCTCATTTAAGATATCCAATGCATACTTCCTCTGACAAAATGAAATGCCCTGCCTAGACTGTGCCACTTCGATTCATAAGAAATATCGAAGTCTGCCAAGATCTTTGGGCTCAAACTGATTGAATAAGTACTTCTTTAACTGATCAATCCCAACTTGATCGCTGCCAGTAATAATGATGTCATCAACATAGACCAGGAGATAGATGCACTGGCCAGAAGAACTATGCCGATAGAAGATAAAATGATCGGCTTTACTTCGGGTTAAACCGAAAGATTGAATAGCGGAACTGAAGCGACTAAACCAGGCCAGAGGAGACTGCTGCAGGCCATATAAAGATTTACGAAGCTTACATACCATTCCAGAACTCTCCTCCTGAGCAACAAAACCCAGTGGTTGCTCCATATATACTTCCTCCTGCAAGTCACCATGTGTTGAGATATATAAAACCATTAATGTAGCCTCACCCAATAGCTTAAGTTTTTGGGTTGAATTGGTTCTTTACATGGTATCAGAGCCTAGGTGTACCGGGTTCAATCCTCACCGCCCCCACTTTCTTTCTAGTGGAATTTCTTTCTTCGCACAGGTAGGTGGGCCTGTGCATCGTCCACCCTTCAAGCCCAATGGGCTCTCGTGTGAGGGAGCGTATTAAGATATATAAAACCATTAATGTATCCTCACCCAATAACTTAAGCTTTTGGGTTGAATTAGTTCTTCACACCATGTAAGAAGGCATTTTTGATATCAAACTGAAGAAGAGCCTAGTGATGAATGGTAGCAAGTGCAAGAAACAGGCGAACAGAGGCCATCTTGGCAATAGGAGATAAAGTATCCCCATAGTCAAGACAAAAAATATGAGTGTATCCTTTAGCCACTAATCGAGCTTTGAGGCAATCAATAGTGCCATCAAGACCAACTTTGACTGTAAATAGGGGTGCTAAACAAGCCAGGGGCCTTTGGCTCGGCTCGTGAAGGCCTGAGCTTACATGTCTAAAATTGATTGTTGGACCCAGGCTTGGACTTGTATAAAAGCTCGTTTAATAAAAAGGCCTCAGGCTCCAATTCAAAAGCTTGGCCTTAGAGCCTCTCAGGCTTGCCTAATATATTATTTTTTAATTTTTTTTAATTTTTTATACTACTTGTGATAGCCTTCTCTCTTCTCAGTTCATTTCATCCAATTTTATTAATTAAACAGACTTTTTAAATGATTTTATTTTATATTATGCTATTTGGATATACATTAAATTTATGAATATTTATGAAATTATTAGTGCTGTTGATTGTATATTTTGTTTGGATGAATTTTTGTTGTCTTATTTTTTTTTAAACAGGCTAAACAAGGCTTTTATTTTTTGTAAATGAGTCAGGCCACAGGCTGATATTATATTCGTAACAGGTAATAGGCTAAGGCCAGTCTGACACATTTGAACACAGGCTCGGCCGTTAAGACCAAAGCTTGGCTCGGCTCGTTAACACCCCTAACTGTAAATACCAATCGACAACTGACAATCGACTTCCCGAGAGGAGCATGAACAAGATCCCATGTGCCATTAGAGTGAAGTGCTATCATTTCATCAATCATCTGGCGCCAACTCGGATGAGATAGTGTTTCACCTGTGGTTTTAGGAATGGAAACAAACGAAATACTAGAAACAAAAGTAAAATTCGGAGAAGAAAGTTTATAACTCAAGAAACTGTAAAGTAGATGAGGGTTGCGAGTGGATCGAATACCTTTGCGAAGGGTAATAGGAGTAATCTCTCATGGAGGATCCAGAGGGGAAAAGTCGACAGGAAAAGGCGATGAGTCAACAAGAGTCAAGTCCGCAGGAGGCGCAGTCTGACGACGTTAATATGTGAGAAAAGGGCAGTACTCAGGGATGAAGGCAAGAGGTTGCTCCTCTGGAATAGAGTTACCTGCAGTTGGTAAAGACAAGTCAAGAAAAGGAACAGGAAGAACTTGATCAACCTGTGATATCTGAGACGGGATAGAATGAAAAGGTTGTTGATCAAGAAAAATGACATCAGCAGAAACAATATAACGCTTGAGGTCAGGAGAGTAGCAACGATACCCCTTTTAAAAACGAGTATATCCAAGAAAAATATACTTGAAGGCTTTGGATGTTAATTTGTCTTTTCCTGGAGTGAGATCATGAACAAAGCAAGTACATCCAAATACATGTGGAGGCAGAGGATAGAAATTACTCCTGGAAATAATACACTAAGTGGAACTTCATTATTTAGCACAGAAGAGGGCATGAGATTGATAAGAAAGCAAGAGGTGATAATAGCATCTGCCAAAAACGGAGTGGAACATTCATATGAATTAGAAGGTTACGTGCAATAAAATAAAGAGACTGGATCAGAATTGTAAGAAAATAAAGAGACAAACAGCTTTTTGGGCCCAGATAATCTGGATTTTCTGTATTAATTTGGAAAGAAATTACAATACTACAGTCTCAGCTAATTGCAGTAAAGGGAAGCAATAAAATAAACTACCACTATTATGATCAGAATGATAACTACCCTGCACCCACGGATACAGGTTCAGTACCATTGAAGAGGTACTGATTCTCTCCCAATCCCACGTCCTAATTCTTTTCTGCCTTTTTGCTCACACCCCTTACCCTTATTTATTCCTTCTAACTGACTCACCACGTCAGCACTACCATCCTTCTCTCCTCTAACAACTTATTCTTCTAGAACTTTGTCCAATAATCCTCTGTAACGCTTCCTAGCGTACACCTTCATAGGAGTCCTATCACACTCATATGAATTAGAAGGTTACGTTCAGTTTCAACCAGATGTCTATTTTTATGTTCAGCCACTCCATTTTGTTGTGGAGTGTGCAGACAGGTGGTCTGATGTAACGTTCCATGTTTTTCCAAAAAATTAGAAAATTCAAGAGATACATACTCTTTCGTATTATCAATACGCAATATCTTAATAGAAGCACCAAATTGGGTATTTATCTTAGCACAAAATTTCTGATAAATTGAAAATAATTCAGAACGATTTTTCATTAAATAAACCCAAGTACAACGAGAGAAATCACCAATAAAGGTTACAAAATAATGAAAACCCAAAATAGACAAAGTTCGACTCAGACCCCAAATATCAGAATGAACAACAGAAAAAGGGAGCATCAGCTCTTTTATTGGCTCTATTAGCAAAGGAGGAGCGAGTGTGTTTTCCTTGCTGACAAGACTGACAGTTTAAAGACTTAAGAATGGAATAAAAAAGGAGCCATATGTTGAAGCTTGGAAAGACTTGGATGACCTAGATGGATGTGGATTAGTTCAGGAGACTCCGTGAGAGAGCACGTCACTGGAGAAGGTGGTGCAGTCAGATAGTAAAAACCTCATGACTCGTTGCCCGCTTCGATCGTCTTCCCCGTACCCGGATCCTACATAGAAAAAGATTGTTTAGAGAAGGTAACAGTGCATGAAAGAGAATGAATCAACTGGCTAATCGAGATTAAATTGAAGGGAATGCCAGGTATATAATAAACAAAGGTCAAAGTCAAAAAGGGAGTTGGGTTGGCTTGCCCAATCCCACGAACAGGAGCCTTAGTGCCATCAACAAGAGTAACAGAAGGTAAATTATTAGAATAAGAAAGTGAAAAGATCCTTATTACCACAAAGGTGATTAGTAGCACTTGAGTCTATTATCTAGGGTTCAAGAGATGATTGAGAAAGACAAGCAACATGATTACCAGTGTCTTGAGGACGAGGTTGGGAAGAAACCTTCCTGAGAAGTACCTCATAGTCAGCACTCGAAAGAGTTACTGATCCAGTAGAAGGTGGTGTAGCATCAGTCTGAGCAAAGTTGGCAGTTGGTGGCTTCAAGTGAAGGTACTTCCTATAGCAACGTTCTTCATAATGTTCAAGGTTCTGACAATAATTGCAACGAGGCCTCTGTCCGTGGCCACCCTGTCCACGGCACGTCCGCGACCGCGTCCACTGTTCCAATTGGAACCATTGGCACGAGAAATGAACGCAGTTGAATAGGTGGCTGGCACATGTGTGGGTGCTGCTGATTTATCCTTGAGATTCAGAAGGCGCTGGAAAGTTTGTGACAGGCTAGGAGTCTCAGCAATGGTTAGAATATTTTCACGAACACTTTCTAATTCCTCTGAAAGGCCGGAAAGGGTTACGACCATAAAGAAGCGCTCCACCTGCTTCTTGTATGCAGAGGCATTTGCAGCATGAGGTAACATAGCTAAGAATTCCTGCATCAAAGAATGAATCATACCAATATAAGTCTCCATTCGAGCATCTGGTGATTTGCGCAATTCCTTTATCTGAGAAACAATGTAATAAAGCTACTGAATATAATTGGTGTAGAGATTTTTGACTTCCTCCCATACGTCATAGCAGGTCTCAAAGGGGATGAAAATGTCTATAACTACAGGATCAATGGATTGCCAAAGGATACTCAGTAGTTGAGCATCAATATTTTCCCATTCAAAAATCTGATCCTTTGGAATATCAGCAGACTTGGTCGTGAGATGTTTACCGTGTCCCTGACCAATAAACTAGATCTTAACGGAGGTAGACCAGGTCTTGTAAGTAATAGATCCGGTCAGTTTCATCGTTGTAATGGATGGGGTGGTACTGGAGATGATGTCGGTAGTGTTTTTGAGCGCTTTACTTGAGCTCTCCATCACAAAAATAAAGGAGATGATCAAAGAATAGCAAAGAACTGCAAGCAAGCAAGAAATCGCGCAAAAAGGTTGCAAAAAGATGTCCAAACAGCGGACCTACAACGAACGGAGACCAGATCTGGAAAGAGGACGAGGAGGCGAGCAAGACGGTAGTGGTCCGGCCCGGAACGGTGGCTCACGCGCCCGAAAAGTGGCTCGTCCGCCGAAAACTTCCATAGGCGCGTGGCTGCTCTGATGACCACGCGACTTGCACAGATAAGGTCGTCTCCTTGATCTGCTTTTGATCGCGTGGTGGTTGGCCGAAAAACTCGCCTGAAAAAGTCTCTGGCGGTGGTGAACAGTGGCGAATGGTGGTTTCCGGCGATGAATGGAGGCTGACGATATTTTTCTTGACGATCCGAGGTTGAGGACAAGCAATTGGTGACTAACTAAAGGGTTAGGTGTGAAAAGAGGGTTGCCGGTATGATGCACGGCAGGATAAGGTTTTTCTGCAGAAGCAAGGTTTCCCAAAACACAAGCTCTAGTACCAACTTGAAAGTATGAATGTATTGGATTGAATTGTATGTAAAACTGTATAAGAGTCCTCTATTTAAAGAGGCTAAATGACCTAATGGGATAAGCCCAAATAATCTTCTAGAATAATAAAAATAATAATAATAAATACAATACTATTTCTAACAAATATAATTAATAAGAACAAGATAATCATATATGCCATTCAATTCAGCTTATTGACGGACCTAATCAGGTATCTTTAGTCAACCAATAAAAATTAATATCACTGATGGGCTTATAGAACCTTCTGGAGAGGTATATCAAAGGAGAAACAAGGCTAAGTCCCAAGACAAAGGAAACAGTGGCCATACAACCCAAGACAAAGGAAGCAGTGATCACGCAGAGGAGAAAGTGGAGTGGGATGAAGAGTTAGTTAAGAAGAATGCCACGTGGCAAGCTGTGAATGGAGAGGGTAATGTAGGAGGAATGGAGAATAAAGAGGGAATGGGGAGCATTGTGGGGTAGGGAATTCTGTTAGGAGTGGTGTAGTGGCTTTTGAGATGTGGAGTCTCATTGGCAGGGGAAGGTGTGAGTAGTTTGAAATTGTTATGCTTTGTTAATTTGTTTCTTTTTCCATTAGTGTCTCTTCCTTGGAGTGTAATCGAAACAGTATCCATTAATGAAAAATACTCGTCTTCATCTTTACATTCTTATCTGTTTGAACTACTGTGACTGTTAGGTGTAAGTTAGTAATTGGTGCCATCAATCACCATCTTGAAGACAATACTTGTTTCCTGGTTAGAAGCATCAAGCATGTTTATGGCTTAGTTTTTCTTCAATCACAAGTCTGATCAAGTATCAAGTTTACTAATTAGTGATATGGGCAGGGAAATTGGTATTAGAAAAAAAAGATTCTACTCCATGTACAATACCTGATATATAAAGCTTCAAAAGTTTGTTATGCACGTGACAGTTAAAGAAAGCCTTTCCTCTTTTTTGAAATGGATAAATAGGAAATTTAGATGCTAATTTCAGCACAACCTAAATGATTAAGATTTCACAACATTATTTACAAGAATATCACTATTTACCAGTAAGTTTCAGAAATTATAACCAGCAATTGATTTAAGTATAATATTAGAGTAAATACAAGCAGGATTATACTAGTGGATTCAGAAGGTAGGACTATAATTCTTGAAAATATAATGTTTAATACAAAAATGAAAAGCACAAAATCATAGTGACAAGGTGCAAATACTTCATAATTGAAAAACTGGGATAACACTTGATTCTAGCACACACAAAAAAAGATTCAAGGAGCAATTTAATATATGATGTTAAAATTTGAAATATATTCTGACTTTGGGTATTCAAAAAACCCCATGTAGTTGACTGATACCTTTCTTGCACAGGAGCTGATTGCTGTAGCATATGCCAATGGGGCCACAGCCAAGGCACATGGTGATGCTGCCACCATGAGCCCTAGGGCTCTGTAAACTGAACCTCTGCAAGCTACACCAAGCAGACACTAAATAAGCTGAAGTATGAATGATAGTCGTATATAGATATGCAACAAAAAAAATTTAGGTCACTATCGCCCTTAACAAAAAAAAGAGAGAGGAGAAAAGCAGAATACTAAGAAAGTTATTGCTCAACCTGTCAAGTACCGAGGCGTTCAAGAATAGATAAGAGATTTTGTGAACTGTCTAATATTATCGATTTTAGCTATAGCTAACTTACCCTGACCAATGGGCTATTTGTTAAAACATCTATCTATACAATATTTTATCTCACAGGGGTCTACTATTTAAGCTCCAGCACTATGACACATTATATCACCTCTTGAGATTGTTAAATCAGTTAGCACAAAACAAAGGCAGTTAGCACATTATTCTGCTTTTGTACATTAAATTGGTTATAACAGTAATAAATAGGAATCCATAATTCAAGACTTTTGTACCACTTGAAGAATGATGATACATGCCTTGCCCAAGTCTATACAAGGACGAAGAAACAAGGGCTATGTCCAAATGGGCAGAAGCAAGGAGGGCTGTGTGTATATGAAAAGAGGAATATGGCAGGAATAGGAGGGTCTGTCCTCACAGCAGAGATAAATGCAAAAGAGGTTGTCAACAGCCTGGACAGCTGGTGCAATATAATTGGGGAAGGGTAAGCGGAGAGATTCTGGCATTACCACAAGAAGGTAGGATAAATGCGGGGGAGAAGAGTGAGAAAGGTTTAGGCAAGAGTAGAGAAATAGTGAGGTTTTGCAAAGGGGTGGGATATTTTGTGCATCTGCAGAATTTCCCCTTGTAATTTTCTTTATACCTGCACTTTGCGATTTCAATCTTAACAGAAGGACCTTTGCTTGTAAGGAGCTTGATCTCCATTATTTCTACTTTTGTGGGAAGTTTATGTAATTATGAGTGATGAGTTTAACCCACTTAGTCTTTTGTTGTTTTACATACGATAATTAAGTTCTTTCCTTTTTTACCCTTATGCTTTTACTATATGTTGCAAAATTCACTCCATTTGTGATAGATGAGTGAAACATTCAGTTTTTCACATGGTATCAAGAGTTCTATGGTCCTCATAAAGCCTAGCCACCAAAACCAAGTTCAAAACTAAAAATCCCGCGGCACATCACCGGTAAACTAAAAGACCAGCCATTGTCAAGGCTGTTTTTTCCTCTTACAAAGCTCCAACGGCAAAGTAAGGCTGCTAGTCACTATAAAAGGCCAAAACAAGTCGAATCCCAACCTGTCACCACTGTCAGAAATTTTTTCCAGCAACCTTTCCGGTCAAAACGTGCACCATTGGAATTAGAAGAAGCCAATCTACAAGGTTCCGAGAAGGACCATCGGATTCTTGCAGGCCACACGCTCTTGGAGAGTGCCGCCCACGTGCAATCAAGTGCGGCTTCCCTTCAGCCCGTGTAAGCCACGCACCGCCCTACAAATGGCTATTCAACTTCGGACCAGTCTCGATTAGTTCGTCCTCCTCTCTCCTATCTGTTTGAGGGCTTGAATAGGTGATTGGAGACATTTTTTTCTGGATAACCTTGTCTTCTCTCATATTTATGATGGCCAAGTGTGATCCTCGCCATGGAAAATAAAATGTGAATGTTGTTGTTGGAACAATCAAAACCAAAAGGACCATTTAGTTTGTGGATTGGTCCCCTACTTCTTTCAAGTGTGATATTAACTATCAACCACCTACTCTTGTTCGGGAGGTGACCTTGCCAAGGAGCAGATGGCAGTTTGCATGATTTCTTCCTCCACCAGCTATACCGCAACATCTACTAGCCCTAAACCCAGTGTGCCATCTAGTAATGTGGCTAAACAAGCTACTGCGTTTCATGTTGATGGTAGTACTCGTTGGATACTTGATTCCGGGGCCTCTAATCACATGACATGTAATCTAACATTGTTTTATTCCTATAATCCATACTACGGGGATTCTCGGGTCAAAATAGCAGATGAAAGTTTTTTTCCAAATTGCAAGGAAAGGATTAGCTAAACTCTCCTAGAAGATTGTGTTAAACTTTGTCCTACATGTCCCTAATTTAGCATGCAATCTCATTTCTGTTAGTAAGCTGACAGCAGAGCTTAATTGTGTTGCTAAATTTTCGGTGCATGATTGTGTTTTTCAAGAACAGGAATCGGAGAGGATGATTGGCAGTGCTAAAGAAGGAGGACACTACATTTTTTAGGGATCTAATCATGTGGAGAATCAAGCTGTTTTTTGCTGAAAATGATCATTTCTTTGTTTCCAATTGCAGTGATGATGTAATGTTGTGGCACTGTAGGTTATGGCACCCAAATTTCCATTATCTTCAAAAATTGTTACCAAATCTCTTTGTCAATGAAAAATCTAGTGTCTTTTCTTGTGACATCTGTCAATTAGCAAAACACTCTCGCGAATCATATTCCATTAGGAAATATAAAGAATCCTTCTCATTTACTCTTGTTTCTCATTTACTCTTGTTCACTATGACATATGAGGTCCATCAACATCAACATCAACATCAACAACACCTTTATCCCAAATTAATTGGGGTCGGTGGTAGATGAACCCACATGAAAGATACAAAACGGTTGAAAAAAAGTTAAAAAAAATAAATAAAAAAAAAAAAAAGTAAAAAAGTAAAAAAGCCAAAAATAAATAAATAAAAATAAACAAATAAAATAAAAATATAAAATAAGATAAAATAAAATAACAATATATGTATATATAAATAAATAAAAGTAAAAAAAAGAAAGGGACAAGAAGAAGTGGGGGAAATGAAGGGGAAAAGGACTAAAAAGGGACCATCTGGAACATAGGAATAACAGCGGGTCTAACCCTCCACCATACTTATAGCTTTTCTCCATTCCGTTCTAAGACATACTGTCCGCCAATCTATATCCCACTCCATTAAATCTTGTTTTACTACTTTCCCCCAAGTAAGCTTCGGCCTACCTCTGCCTCTTTTTGTGTTGAGCTCTTGGTAACAAACTTCTGTTCTTACAGGAGCATCCATGGGTCTTCTCTCCTATGAAAAATATTTCTGGCTCGAGATGGTTTATATCATTCATTGATGACCATTCTTGAGTATGTTGGGTCAACTTCTCAAAGAAAAGTCTGATACTATACAAGTTTTTAAAAAAATTCATGCCATGGTTCAAAACAGATTTGGCACCTCCATAAAAATTCTTCGAACAAACAATGGTAAAAAGTATTTTAATTCAATCCTTGGAGAATACTTGTCTCATCATGGCATCCTTTTATCAGAGTTCATGTCTTGATACTCCTCAACAAAATGGGGTAGCCGAGAGAAAAAATAGGTGCCTAAATATTTGAGGGGGCAAATCATTCTAACTGTCACCTACCTCATCAACCGGATGTTTTCCCTTGTCCTTCAGTTTCTTTCTCCACTATCAAGTCTTTTAAAGAACTATCCATCTCTTAGCTCTATGTCTTCACTTCCTCCAAAATTGTTTGGGTGTGTTTTTTTCGGGTGTGTTGTGTTTGTCCATGTTTCATCACACCAACGATCTAAACTTGATCCTAAATCTCGTAAGTGTGTCTTCATTGGATACTTTCCTACTCAAAACAGATATAAATGTTATTCCCCATCTCTCCAAAAGGTTTTTGTCTCTATGGATGTCACTTTCTTTGAGAGTCGATCTTTTTTTTCCCAGCCTTCTTTTCAGGGGGAGCTTCTAGATGAAGACCAGTATTTGGAACCCGCAGTGTTACCTCTTCCCTTATCCATTCCTTCATCACAGAATTCACCACAATTGGAAACAGGGGGAGATGAGAGGTTGAAAAAAGATAAAGACGATAATCAGTAGATAGCCCTCTCAAAAAGTAAATAATCCAGATTCTTTGCACTGCTAGAATTCCACTTCGGCTTCTGGTTCCAACAATTTGGATCCAACCCAACATGCCTATGAGGATTTACATTTGCAAATTTCTCTCAGGAAAGGAACTAGGTCTTGTACTTCGCATCCTATCTCTCAATATGTTTCCTATGATACATTATCTCCAGGTTTTCGTGCCTTCAACACAGTCTTGGATAGTATAAAGATTCCTAAAAATATCCAAGAAGCCCTTAATGATCTGAATTGAAGGTTGCCTGAAGAAATGGACGCTTTGGAAAGCAATAACACATGGGATATTGTGGAACTACCAAGAGGAAAGCAATCAATGGGTTGCAAGTGGGTGTACACCATTAAATTCAATGCAAATGGCAGCATCAATAGATATAAGGCCAGACTAGTTGCAAAGGGATACACTCAGACGTATGGAATAGATTATTAAGAAACATTTGCTCTTGTTGCCAAACTCAACACTATTAGAGTTCTTCTATCCTTGGTTGCTAATCTTCATTGGCCCTTACAACAGTTGGATGTGAAGAATGCATTTTTGAATGGTGACTTACATGAAGAAGTCTATATGGATGTCCACCTGGTTTCGAAAAAAGGAGCTGGCTTGGTGTGTAAGTTGAAGAAGTCTCTCTATGGGCTCAAACAGTCTCTTAGAGAATGGTTCGATAAATTCACTCAAGCAGTCAAGATGAAAGGGGCTTACAGGCCCAAACTGATCATACACTTTTCCACAAACATTCTAAGAATGGTAAGGTTGCCATTCTTATAGTCTATGTAGATGACATAATCATTACTGGCGATGATCGTGAGGAGTTAAATTCCTTAAAGGAATATCTAGCAGGTCAGTTTGAACTAAAAGACCTTGGAGTCCTAAGGTATTTCCTTGGTATAGAAGTGGCACAGAGCAAGACAGGGATCACAATCTCCCAAAAGAAGTACATCTTAGATTTGCTTCAGGAGACATGCATGCAAGGATGCAAGCTAGCTGAAACACCTATGGAACCCAACATTAAATTAGGTATTGAAGATAGGAAAGAGGTGGACATGGAGCAGTATCAGAGATTGGTTGGAAAATTGATCTACATGCCTCATACTTGGCCTAACATTGCTTTTACAGTAAGCACGGTCAGCCAATTTATG